ATACTAAATGTTAATAAAACATGTTCCTTATAATTTACGAATGACTTATTTAAGAATAGGGATGGATTTCAAAAATTCCTTTTTGTATTCTCATTGCCCCATTCATGGAGGTTCAAGAATTTTATATTTTTCATTACGGAGACTTGGATAGACTGAAAGTGTCGCGCTCTTTTTTACCTCTCACATATTCCTTACAAAAATCTTTAATTAATATTTCATACTTAGTATAATTCTTCAAAGACATCCAGATATCTTAAAAAAAAATTTTTTTATCAAAGAGTCAAAAATACACCTTTCAACATTTAATATTTAGTATGGTCATTCCTAATGTGTATACAGCCATGCTAGATCAATTTTTTAGATTATGTCATTGACCTTGATGCTATGCCTCTCAATATTATCAATTTGGATTCATTTGGTTGTTGCATTAATTTCATTGTCATCTTATAACTCTAAAAGATTATGCCTATGTCCTTATAACAATGGAAGTCCTCACAAAAATAGTCCTAATTTTTTGTAATAAGATACGAGAAAAAATCATCAATCCATGAGTCAACACAAATAAAAAAATAATTAAGACTTATCTCAAATTCTTGTGTGATTTGACATTCCAAATTCAATTAAGGACAAAAATAATTTAAAAAAAAAATCTTTAAAAAATTTTAAGAATATTTTTGAAAAAACAAAAAAAAAATTCGAATGCTTTAGAAAATGGCATTCGAATGCTTCCTTGAATATTCGGATATGCATTTGAATACTTTTTTTTTGTTTTAAAAAATAGCCATTAATTCTTAAAATTTTACCTAGGGCATACAAACGTCCTCCGTCGAACATTCGAATGCCCATATAAAACCCCCCCCCCAAAAAAAAAGATTCAAATTACAAAACATCAATGATTTTTATATTCTAAAAATTATTATAATAACATTAATTATATCACAACTATAAAAATTATATTAACTTTTATGCATATTTGTAAGTATGCAAAAAGATATCATATTTTTTATTATAAAAAATATATAAAATGAATCAAAACACAAGTCAATCTTACTTTGATATCAATGAAATAAATATCATGTAAGATATATACGAACATCTGTATATACTTGTCCAGAGAAAATAAAAGTAAAAACCGAACTTAAATTATTGCTTGTTAAACAATATTATAATATAAAAATTATTGGTTTTTACAGTACAAATCCTTCGACGCACCGAAAATTAATTGCATTCTATCCTTCTTTTTATTTTTTATTGTGTTTTGTGATATTATTCGCACACAATCGTAGGCCAAATGTCATTACTTGATTAAGTCAAAAAAACAGAGTGAGGTGATATCTCATATATCATAAACCGTCAAGGCAATTTTTTTATTAAAAAAAAGACTACTCAATGGCAATTGTAAGTATTGGAGTGCTCAAGTCATCATGATGGACGAACTTGACTCTGTTTCTCGTACAGTGTGCTTGCATGGTAGCCTCATCAAAATTATCAGTTGACGAACTATCATATTAATAAAATTATTTCTTGTTTGGTATTTTTGTGAATTTTCAGTATTTTACTTCTGTTGTGTGATTAGAAGGAATCAATCCAATTTTTTTTATGACAACAAATTTCAACTTGGTTTTACTTTTTAATGAAGTTTATCTTTAAATTGTTCTAAATGAGTCCTTAACGTTAATAAAATGGTATCAATTTAACCCTTTCATCAAATTGTTTTGTTATAACAGTGACCTTGATAGTAAAATAGTCTTGGCTTTGACCACCATTATCTCCATGACTGGTTGTTGAGATCTTTCGATATTGCGACATCTGTTTTCTGGGTTTTAAATATTGCCTATTTGTTTTAAAGAATTAATGCCATCCCATTATGAATTATTAGAAATGTTAAATATGTGATGCTATTTGTCAACATCAACCTTTATTAAATTAATATATAGAAAAACAAAACAAAAGAGTAGAAAAAAAACTGTAATTACAATGAAAGCTACAGCTTATCGTTTTGGTCCGGTGGCATGGAATAAATACGATAGACGGTAATCAGAAGAAGACCAGCAGCCATGGATGCAGCAGAAGAAAAGCACTATTTTCATAATCTATTTCTGTTTTTAATCATCTTTTCTTTTTCTTACTCGGTTCATGGGGTTAATGAAGCTGTTGGATATGGCTACAAACTTGAATCTGTTTCCATTGACTCAAACCAAAAATGGTTGACCGCCCGTCTAGGTCTTATCCGCAGCTCATCTGTTTTTGGACCTGACATTCAAAATCTCAATCTTTTTGCCAGGTAACTGCTAACCCGAGATGGGATTGTTTGTTTTCATCATATCTTTGTTTGTTTGTTTGCTTGTAAATTTTTAGTTTAGATTTTGAAGGTCAACTTTCTATGTGCAGCTTTGAGACAAGCAATCGATTGAGAATCAGAGTTACAGATTCAGGCCATCAAAGATGGGAAATCCCACAAGAAATCATACCCCGTCAATCTCAGTTCCCACACCTATCATTGCTAGAAGACCGTCTGAGCACATCAGCGAACTACCAAACACAGAAGCAAAAGGAAAACTATTTTGTGTCAGACCCAACATCGGACCTCATTTTCAGCCTACATAACACCACGCCATTCGGGTTCACAGTGAGGCGTCGCTCCTCAGGTGACATCCTTTTCGATGCATCTCCGGATGCATCCGATCCTGGCACTTTCTTGGTGTTCAAGGAACAATACATTCAACTCTCCTCCTCACTTCCGAAAGATAGGTCTTCACTTTACGGACTGGGAGAGCACACAAAGGGATCGTTTAAGTTGCAACACAATGACACATTGACGCTATGGAATGCAGATTTGGCGAGTGCTAATCTGGATGTTAATCTTTATGGATCACATCCCTTTTACATGGATATGAGATCAGCATCAGCAGATGGCAAAGTAGCAGCCGGAACTAGCCATGGAGTGGTGTTGCTTAATAGCAATGGAATGGACATTGTGTATGGGGGAAACAGGATAACTTACAAGGTTATTGGAGGAGTTATAGATTTGTATGTTTTTGGTGGACCACTGCCCCACGCTGTCATTGAGCAGTACACTGAGCTTATTGGCCGCCCCGCTGCCATGCCTTACTGGTCCTTTGGTAAGTATACAACACAATACAATACAATACAATTTTTTTTTTTAAATTTTTTTAACTTTTCTTGATTTCATCGCCAAATCTTATCCTTATTCAAAAAAAGATTGAAGTCTAAAACATAAAAAAAAAAAGTCATTTGTCCGAGGAACTAACTTGTCGCTTCAGCCAAAATAAAATGTAGTCATTCCAGGGAAACAAGGGCAATAAATAATAACAAAATCAATTGATGCCTCTGAATCAGTATTCTCCTTTGTCCTTACGTTACGTTAGCAGTTGGATTTTTTTTATCCTTTCTTCGAGAATAATTAAAATAATTACTATTGTAATCGTCTGAACATTTAGTCTTGATACATGTTCTCAAAGAGCGTGGTTACCTCCTTTTAATAATAATAATAATAACAACATATTCTACTACTAGAATGCTGTAATTACAAACAGAATTTGCTGATGAAAAGTAGAAATTGACCTTGGGCTCATGTTTAGGGTGCTTACTGGTGAAATTTAAAATGTGGGATTTTTGAATTAATAATTGATTCAAAATTAATCGAACCACCCTTAAATCCCATAAAATCTGTGATTAGGAAGCGTTCTATATATATATATATATATATATATATATATATTGTAGGATAATCTTTTTTTGTTTTGGTATGAGATCTATGTACCTCGTTAGGAACTTCAATCTCAATTTTATCATTGGTTCACTTGGAAACGAAGATTTGAGAAAATGATTTTCGAGTTTGGTAGATATACAAATTAAAAGGATTTAACATATAACATGGATGTTAGGTTGTTAAGTTAGTGCATCAACAATGTTGTTTATTGAAATCCAAGTTAAATTTAATTGGTTAATACAGTCACTCTAACATTAAATACATCTAGAATTTAAATTTTAACTTCTGTAAGATCTTCATCTATCTTCAGATTGTGATCTCATTTGTAAAAAAGAAAATAACAGTGTTGTATGTTGGAGTTGGACTATATCTTTGATTTATTCATCACACATTTGACCATTGTTTCTTAAAGGATTCCATCAGTGCCGGTATGGCTACAAAAACGTTTCTGATCTTGAGGGTGTGGTTGCGGGCTACTCAAAAGCTAGGATTCCACTGGAAGTCATGTGGACAGACATCGATTACATGGATGCCTTTAAGGATTTCACTCTTGACCCCATCAACTTTCCCAAGGACCTGATGAAAAAATTTGTCGATAAGCTTCATCAGAATGACCAGAAATATGTGGTCATCTTAGATCCTGGTATGTGCATCAAGACTGTCTACACATTAATGCACATTAATGCTGAGGTTCAGTCTGCAATGAATGTAATTAATTGTGTTAAATGATTTGAATAGCTGCGATTTTTTCCTGAAGCAAATCTAACATTTTATCAGCAGATCACACAATTGTTAGTATAGATGCGATTTAATAACAATATTTTGATATCATCCAATCTTGGCAGGTATCAGCGTAAACAAAACCTATGGAACCTACATCAGAGGGATGCAAGCTGATATATTCATAAAAAGGGATGGAGTCCCTTACTTGGGTGTAGTTTGGCCTGGTCCAGTTTACTTCCCAGATTTTGTAAATCCTCTTACTGAAACATTTTGGGCTGGTGAAATCAAAATATTTCGAGATTTTCTCCCTGTTGATGGTCTTTGGCTTGATATGAACGAGATATCCAATTTCATAACCTCCCCTGGAAAGCCAAATTCTACCCTGGATAATCCTGCTTACAAGATTAACAATCAGGGAATCCAGCGACCTATTAATAATAAAACAGTTGCAGCCACATCTCTACATTTTGGTAATCTGACAGAGTATAATGTCCATAACCTGTATGGTTTACTAGAATGCAAAGCTACTCACGCAGCATTGACTAATTTGACCGGCAAAAGGCCATTTATTCTGAGTAGATCAACTTTTGCAAGCTCTGGACAATATGCAGCCCACTGGACCGGAGACAATGCAGCCAGGTGGGAGGATTTGGCATACACAATACCATCAATTTTAAATTTCGGACTCTTTGGTCTTCCAATGGTTGGAGCTGATATATGTGGCTTTTCTGGGGATACGACTGAAGAGCTCTGCCAAAGATGGATTCAAGTAAGTTCCTGATAGCTTTCCTTTTATGTTACAAAAGAGGCCGTCTTTTGAGATAGTGAAAAGGGTTGCATTTATTAAGATTTAAATTAAAAACCTGAATGTCATCTCTTAAGAGTGACTATATAAATCAATTGAGCTAATCCTTGAGTTCTCCCGATTAGCCTTTCCACCACACGATATGCTCTTCAAGCATTCAAACTAGCGCAACTGAATTAACAAGGTTTTTTTTTTTTTTGGTATAATTGCAGCTAGGGGCCTTTTACCCTTTTGCTAGAGATCACTCTGAGATTAATTCAATTCGTCAAGAGCTCTATCTTTGGGATTCAGTTGCTGCAACAGCTAGGAAGGTGCTTGGCCTCCGCTATCGCCTGCTCCCATACTTTTACACTCTAATGTACGAGGCACACAAAAAAGGGATTCCCATTGCAAGGCCACTTTTCTTCACATTCCCCCAAGATGTTAAGACTTATGAAATCAATTCACAATTTCTCCTTGGTAGAGGTGTAATGGTGTCACCTGTATTAAAGCGAGGAGTCGTTTCAGTTCATGCTTACTTCCCAACTGGAAACTGGTTTGACCTCTTCAATTATTCCAACTCAGTGAGTGCAAATCCTGGAAAATATTTTACACTAGCTGCACCTCGTGATCATATAAACGTGCATGTTCGGGAAAGTAACATTATAGCCATGCAAGGAGAGGCCATGACAACAGCAGCTGCCCGGAAAACACCATTCCAACTCTTGGTGGCTGTCAGCAACAGTGAGAATATGAGTGGGGAACTTTTCTTGGATGATGGAGAGGAAGTGGAGATGGGACAAGAGGGAGGAAAGTGGAGTTTAGTGAGATTTTACGGGGTAAGTTCTGGTGATAATGTCCATGTCAGATCAGAGGTTGAGAATGGAGAATTTGCTTTGAGTCAAAAGTGGATCATAAATAAAGTCACTTTCGTGGGGTTGGAAAAAATTGGGAGGCTGAAGGGGTATGAAATAAGCACCAACAACAGAACAAACTTGTCTGAAAATCCAATTTTGAAGACAAAATTAGACAAGAATGCAAAATTCCAAGTTGTGGTGCTCTCAAGACTGAGGCTACCTGTTGGAAAGGAGTTCAGTTTGCAACTCAGGTTTTAAGAAGAGCAACATCAGTACATCACTGCTGGCTGGCTCATTATTCCTCCAAAATAAAATGACAAAAAAAGGACGCAGGAGACAGCTTCTTTGGCACAGTGATGATCTTGTAGTTCAAAATGGAATTAATAAATAAATGAATTACTTTCATTTGGGTAAAACCATGATAATTTTTTTTTTACAAGGATGCCATAGCTTAGAGAGTTAAGGAAATTGCAAATGCAAGAAATTGAATCTCAACCTCAGGATAATTCATCTTCTAAAACAATTACAGAATCACCAATAACTTTGTAGGATACTAGGTGACTTTAGCTACTTGATCATAGAGATGGACTTAGGGTTGATCTTAGTGTAAATTTTACAAAGGAATAAAATTTACATGGTACTATTTATACAAAATTTCATAAAAGCATTAAAAGTAAAACTTAGCAAATTTTTAGCATTATTTTTTTAAAAAAAGTTCTATTTTTTTATAATTTCATTAAAAGAATTAAAAGTGAAACTTAACAAACTTTTAGCATTATTCTTTAACAACATTAATTAATTTTCAAATTTTCATTGGGGTAATTCCCCCCCCACCCTATATGTAGACATGAGACTTCTGCTTTCCTTCGACAAGTGTAATTATTTTTTATTTAAATAATTTAATGCTTGTAGAGAGAAACAAAAAGGTATTTCATTTAGCAAAACATTACCAAATCTTAAGTTGCGAAAAATAAAAAACAATTTTGTAAACACAACGAATATAACTAATATATATACAAATACTTAAATGAAGAATGTCTTTTTTTTAAAAAAATTGTGAAAAATTAATTCTTTGATGTTTTTGGTTATTTATAAATTGATTTATTTAATCAAAATGTAGAATACATTTGCTCATGTAGTATTATTGGTGCAATAATTGGAGGAAATAAGATGCAATAACAAATAAAAAATTGATATTTATTTGTTAAATGAATAATGCTACAACAAAGCTCATGAAAGGGCAATGAAAAACAATGCTTGGATTTTGGCGCAAATCAATTTGTTTTATCCTTTTTACTCAAAATTACATCAAGGGTAAAAAGAAATGGCTCATTCTTCTATTCATTACAAACTATGTATCAAGTCTGACTGCCAAAAAAAAAACTATTGGTGCTTCCAGCTGCAACATTGGAATGTGAATTTGTAGTAATTTTAACATTCTACCTGCAGAAAAAAAAAAAAAAAAAACAATTTTTATTATTAGCAACAAGAGCTGAGGACATCCCTTTTATTCGAAATAAAAAAAAAAAATTTTTTGATGGGAACTGAGTTCAAACCTAGCAGAGTAAGAGGATGCTGAACAATTTTGGTGAAAACCTAGCATGTGCATGGTAAAATTTATCTTCATTGGCAAGCACATAGATGCGTAATGAATTTACTCCAAGATTATCATCACGAGGGATTGCATAGTTAAAATACAGGCATAACAATCATAACGACAAATCATCTTTTCAAATTTTATATCACTAATTTGAAGTAATGAAGGCCTATTGCCAGAAATTCCTCTTCTATAATGCAAGTTTAACATCCTGTAATATGGTTGAATGAACAAAAATATACATGTGAAACACTGATTTTTAAAGATTGAACATCTGATTCAAGGAATTTGGTGACAAATAACAGGCAAAAGACTTGAACATGAATCCCAGGGGTAAGTAGTCTGAGAGTCAGACACAACATTGATTACGATTCCTCATTTCTTGTCATTGCTAAAACCAAATTGAGGTTAATGTCATTTGAAGCTGAGCCAGGTCGATGATAATAGATGCCACCTATTAGGCAAGTGGCAATAAGAAGCATCAATTGCACCCAATTTCTCTACAACCAACCAATGGTGAAGGCTTCAAGATTGATGAAAAGAGAGGGAATAAGATTTTGATTGTCAAATGTACCCTTATAATATTTTGATTTTCTACCTTAAAACATTTCAACGATCAATCTCGAAGGAGAGAGAAATAGAATAGATTCCTTACCTCAATTTAATTCTACAAAGCAATTGCATAGGTTGAGAATTGGTTCGGACAAATCCCCAAGGCTCCCTTTAAATGTGGTCTCTATTAATGTACAAAACAGCAAATCTCAACCAGCTTTTGCCCCAAACCTTTGTGCTAAGAACTCATCTAGTTGCCCCCAGTTAGGGGTAGCAGAATTGTTCGAATTATCAGAAGGCAATGATCGAATGCATCCAAGAATGTGTGTGATATCATGATGCAGCCTGCCAAGAAAACAATTAAATAAACCATTATAAGGTCTGGCAGCTTGTAATCATAGAAAAAACAGAGAGAAAATCATATTTGATGTTCATATAAAAATCCAAAAACAGTAAAATACCTATCTTTAGCCTGAGGAGTGCTGAACTCTAACCGTGAAAATGATTCCGAAATTTGTGAATGGAAGATTACAACAACTTGTCTGCAAAGCATAGTACTAGTAACTCAAGGGAACAATTCTATTTTGTCATTAGTTAACCATTTTCTTTCATTATTCACCAAGAAAGAACATAAAAATCTGCACTTGCTTGATACAATTACTATTTTCTTTTTTAAATCTTCAATATGTTCTCATGTGGTAGAGCATGATCTTATCACAGCTTGTGTAGAGGGGATAGATGATTTTTGTGTGGAACAAAAATCAATGTCATTAAATGGGAAAAAATGTACCAGTTAAGGGAAGAACAAGTTATACGCTGCTAGAAGTTTTCAACAATCAAGATTTTATGCATATCAAATCAAAAGTTCTTTAAATGAGATTTATTGTAGACTATTAAATATAATAGAAAATTTGTAGAGTGCAAAACTTGCTTGGTCTTGATGAGGATAATGGATCCCTTCCCATAAATATTTGCTGAAATAGACTAATATTTGCTTGCCAGGCATTTTATTAAAAGATTCATTTGCATTGCAACAAGGATCCTCCAAATATAACATAAGATTAAAATATTTGGCAACAGGACTTAAAAAGCACCTACACCTTTATTATGACAGGAAATCTTACATTAATTGTCCAACTAGGAATATAAACCGAACCTAGGGTTGCCATTCAAATCTCAAAATTTTCTATGGTTCCAATAGAATTTACCCCATGACCCCTAGAACATTTTGAACATGTCTCCAAAAAGTTTACAAAGGCACATTTGATGAACAGCGGTTAAACTTTTAAGGCAAGTTTATCATGGCATATTAACTTTTTTTCTTAACAGGTTCCATGATGACATGATGATGAAACAAGCCATTCGGTGACTAACATAGGAGTTGAATTTGCCTCACCTGAAAATTGCTTGGACGTCTACTTCATGCAACGTTCGAGATAAAACACGTTGAAGGTAGCCAACTTCCTATAAACAAATTGAACAGCTAATCAAAATCAATTCATCTATGGCAATTCAGATCAAACTAAAAACAATTTAACAAGTTACACTTGAAAAAAATCTAATACAAAAATTAGAACCTAGATAAACTGTACTTGTTGGCACAATCCTTTAAGTTCGCATAGAAATGCCCTATGCTTGCAGAAGCCAAGGTTCCTCGAGTAAGATAATAGAAGGAAGGCTAAATATATGCAGTGCTGCTTTAAAATTAGTTTCAACTTTTTTAAGCTCATAAACTAAGAAAGTTAAACAAAAGGTAATGCTGTTCTGAAAAATAGTTTCAACTGTTATTAAGCTTATAAACTAACAGCTGGGTTACAACAACTGCTAGATGGAAAGTAAAAAGAGGAAAAGTATAAAAACTTATAAGAAAGTTGTGTATTGAAATAACAGAGCAAGTAAAAAATAAGTGGTTTTAGATTCAGGCTTTCACATTAATTCTCGAATATTATCAATATCACACTATTAACCACTGCCAGTCCCATCCACCAAAACTAAATCATCAAACAGAAGCAGACAACAGAATACAAGTTTCTGAATATGCTAACAAGGAACTTGCCAGGCATATAAGTGGATAAGAATAGTGCTAGGTTAATCCTTTCAAGCCAGTTGGTTCAGTTAAGCAGGACTTAAACAGAGTGCACCAAATGCAAATTTAGATTGGCCAAAACGATAATGGAGTCACAATGAGAATAAGAGATCAAGACATACTTTAGAGAGAAGTTTCGATATCATAGTTGAATCAATGAGATTGAAGAATAAAAGATTTTATTCAAAATATATGCATGTGTCAGAGAGTGGATGTACTATGTTACCCTAATGAGAGTATATGGGGAGGAAGAAAAGGTGGTTTGGAGATGAAGGCTTACAGATGTTCATATAAGTAACTATATTCTAAAGGAGGAAGTTCATGTGATGCAGAGCATTCCAGAAAAGACTGAAATTGAGCATCTTGAAATGTTTTTTTTTATGTTGGCTGTTTTACTTTAATTAATGGTTAATAATAACGTTTTTGTTTTATTAAGTGGTCATGTTACTAGCATGAGATCTCTTAATGAGTTTGAATGGCTAAGTAGATGATGTTTAAGCGTATCCAAGGCTAGGATTAAAAGATATTGTAACCCTAGTATAAGCTTTTTGGATAAATTAGTTACCTGTATTGTGGTGGAGTATTAGCTGTTACTGGTTCTACAATCCTAATTCCTAAACCCTAGTTTTCTTATTCCCACTTCAATTTTACATCAGTTTTTCTTTTACCATTTATGCTCCGGTACTACATCATCATGTCAAAAGGGGAAAAGAATTTACATATGTTTGCACACCACTCAATTTTTGCGTGATTCTCCAACTAATAAAGTGTTTTTCTAAACTGAATCCATTACAGACGAAAATGAAGAAGGTATTAAACAAGGTAAGAACCCTTGGAATTGAAAGCTAAACATAGAAGCTACCTTCGTAAGGGATCTAGCAAATTGACTGGGCTGTGGCTCAGCATCTTCTGGCCTATTCCAGCTTTCAACAATCTGGGGCAGTCCACGCAGATGAACCAACAACCTCTCTCTCATTATCTGAACAAGCTTTGTATGTATTTCATCCCGATGAACCTTATAATCCTGAATTTAAAAAATAAAACAGTGTCAAAGATTTATCAAAGAATGTGTCCACTGCAAGGGGCAGGGAAAAGGAAAATTGAGCTATTGCCTAATTGAGGATATGATTCATATGTATCATTGAATTCTTGTCAGTAAAAGCAAGAATT